GTTGTACCGATGACACCGCTCCACTTGGTGAGGACTCGCCGAGTATGCAAAACATTCTCAACCGTTTGGAGATCGAAGTATCTAAGAATGAAATATGCTTTACGCCGTCGAAACGCAAAGTGCTGCTCTAGGATTGGCACTCGCCAGTTCCCGTGCTCACGCTTGTACGTGTCGATAGATTTGTCTACCCAGGCAGCTTGATGTCTGCTGAAGACGCTATCAACAAGGAAATTTCTCATCGTATCACAGAAGCCCGGTGGACGTTTGTTAATCAGCAACACTTGTGGCGTTGTCGTGATGTCCCCCTATTGATAAAGGGTGGTGTTTACAATGCCATCGTTTTGGCGGTGTTGCTACATGGCAGTGAGTCATGCCCAGTTGGTACCTGACCTCGACCTACGATGGTGCTTGAGGAGAATTGCCTGTGTGTGGTGACATCAACGATCTGCGACAGTGAAGTTAGAAGCTGAGCTTATGGAATGCGAGTATTCCTTTCAACAAGCTGGTTTTACTGGTCAAGTCCTGAGTATGTCCACTGAGCGTTTGCCCCAGCGCGCCCTGTTCGGTTGTGCAGGACTCAGCTGGAAGAGGTCACACCGTGGTCAACTGTCCAACTAGCGACAACATGAAATAATTGACTTCAGGGCTTGCTGCCGTTGGATACGCACGCCCGCCGGGCTTGGGACATAAGGACGAACAATTTCAATCGCTGGAAACAATTCAGGAAATCGCGTGTAATCGAGACCAGCGGAAGATGTGTACACACGTCTTTATATTTAGATGCTTAAAGCATAATAATAAAAGCCAACAAATGGCGCGTCACAAAATTACTAAAACATATTCCGTTCTTGCGGCATGATAGCCGAAATGCGTTGCTCACTTTCAAATAAGGTGACATAATAACAATGCGACAACTATACCTGTCATCCGCTGATTGCCATGGTTCCGTCAATTTACTAGACTGTTGGTTAAATTCCATTTCATTCTAATTGGTTTGTTCTGCCTAGCTGAATAATTTTCTATTAAGTTGCACACGTCGCTAACGCTAAGTGCGCCCATCTTCGTCAATGTCATTGCGTTTGTAGCATTTTTAAGTGACTTCTAGACCTTATGTACTTATCGCGGATTCATTGTTAACCAACTTACTTCATAAGCTGATTTAGCGAAGAGTTATGTCTGCATAGCCGCATGCATTTCAAGTGATTGGCTGTTGCTTGATATCTTCGGTGCGCACGTTGACAAAGTGCCTACCTGTATATTACCGACCAGATCCATCCTGGCCCCAGGAGACAGTTGGTCGTTGCTGGAGGGGACAGGGTGCACGGTCCTTCTGGCCATGCTAGGCTCGAAGAGTGGTTCCGTGCACTCAGTGTGGAGCGGACTACGGTCCAGCCACCGCCTTGTGTGCGCTTGATTCCCAAATACAGTGTGCTTGTGTTGGCCTTGAAGGAGTGTGGGCCGGCTCCGTTGGTAAATCGTGGCTCCCATCCGCATGCGTCCCGGTCTTATTCCTTCGGGTTTACACTGGATATGGGGTGTGTGGTCGGAGCTGTGAATGATGCAGCGAAAGCCACCCATGGTCCCTCTGTAGGCGCAGGTGTCCTGTAGCTGGCCAGAGTGAGGCAAATCCGAAACCTGATGCCGCCAACCATATATATAATTTTTGACAGCATCCGGTTTCGTTCCACAATGGATGCATGGAACCACTCATTGAGTCCAGTACGGTCATGAGGACCGTGCACCCCGTCCCCTCCTGCAACGACCAATTATCCCCTAGAGTGAGCACAGGCGAGGTGGTGGAAAAAAGACGGGTAGGCACCTTGTCAAAATTCACACCAAGTGTAGCCACACCGAGGATAATAATCAACAGGCAACACCTGAAAGGCAAGAATTTCAACACGTAAGCACAGGCACAGACCAACTGCAACGACCATGCGACACACGTACCACACCAACCGCGTTATGGAGATGAGTTAGCAAACTGAATCGGACGCAGCGAAAATACCAAGCGCCGCGATAATGAGGATTACGCCTTTAGCACGTCCGTCTTCTCTTAGATGTTGGCCCAACATGGCGACGTTGGTGCCTAAGCAAACTGCATGTGCTACAGCACAATGCGCTCGACGTCGATGGGCTATCCACCACTGACGCCTGTCGATTTCGCAACCGACGTTTCTTTTCCACAAACATTAGTGATTTCTCTTGCACCCGGGCCACCGCCCACTTTATATGCCCTCGCTATGCATGCTGGTCAACCGCCTTCAATTCTCAACACCTAAAATCAATATTAAAACTTAAAAGGCACATATTGATCATATCCTGGTAACGTAACTACGGTTTCCCAATGTGCCGCTTCCCTGCAAACAGTTGGCTAGAGAGCAGCTGTTTCGATATCCGGGTCGAATCTATACGGCGAATATGTCCAAGCCACCTAAGGTGCTTCAGTAGAAGTATAAAGTCCACTGCATATATGCGACTGCGTAGAAGTGACTCCGTGTCCGCAACTCGGTCATTCCAGTCCATGCGCATTATACGACTCACACAATGTTGATGGAAGCACTCCAGCTAACGGACATACTTCAGGTAAAGCGTCCAGGTTTCGCTACCATATAGAAGGGACAGCACCACAGACTTATAAACCACCAACTTCGTCCCGACAGTGAGCTAGTGGCTGTTCAACACACGACATTCCAGACTGTTAAATGTAGCACCCGCCTACGGTACTCGAGTGTGCAGTTCGCCCATCATTTGCATGTCGGTTGGTAGTGTGCTACCAAGGTAAAGAAATCTCGGAGTGGTTTCCAACACTTTGTCGGTATCCTGGATTTGGGGCAAGTCCACGGATTCCATTCTAGGTGTAGGTTGAAAAAGACAAACAGTCTTGCCTGTGTGGATGGTGAACCTGAATTCGGCCGCTGTCGAAGTGAGAGCCGAAGTCATATGCTGCAACGCAGCCGCGCTGTGCACAAACAACCCACAGTCTTTAGCAAACAACATGCGGATAGTTGTCTTACACTCGGGTCCTCGCCCCGGAAAGACGGATGTTCAGCAACCCACCAGCAATATATATATATATATATATATATATTGATGCAAAATAAATTGTACATCAACGTGGGGAAAAGTAGTGCTGTGTGCCTGCTGTGAGCCGGATGTGTTAAGTTAAATTTCCCTCAGTATGGTGGAGCATGGTATGGAGCTGGAGAAGGCGATGGCTGCATGCCTGTGTGATGTGGAATGCACATCTACTGTAGGTGACCTGTGGCACAACATTCGCGACCAGGTGAACGCCGCTGCCGAGACCATCGGGCGCGAAAATTGTAAGCGGCCCGATGTGTTTGATGAGAACAATGGGACGGCGGCAATCCGCGGTCCATTATTTTATGTTGTCGCTAGATGGATGATTGACCACGGTGTGACCTCTTCCAGCTGTCCTGCACGACCGAACAGGGCGTGCAGGGGCAAACGCTCAGTGGACATACTCAGGACTTGACCCAGCCATTGTAACTTGACCAGTAAAATCAGCTTGTTGAAAGGAATACCCGCATTCCATAAGACCAGACTTCTAACTTCACTGTTGCAGATCGTTGTTGTCACGACACATACAATCCCCTCAAACACCCATTACCGAAGGCCAAGATCCGGCGCGAACTGGCCATGAATCACTGTATCGCCGAATTTCGTCAAGAATCTGCGTAGTCATGCAACCATCGTACGGTTATACATAGCAACCGGAACAATTCCGTAGAGATTTTAACAACGCAGGTCGACAATTCAGTGTGCACACAAAATTTCAGGTACATGAAACCTGATTTAGTATGAATCAGAATCAGAATCAATTTATTAGGAGAATAAGATAGGAATCTATGTGATCTCCATCATAAGTAAAGCAAAAATGACCCAAGCCGAATATGGGTCTGTGTGAATGCACATCAATAATCGTCCAGTAATAAGCAAACAAAATACCGATATATAAGCACAAAGAAAGCACTAAGTGTCTTGGTCTTTTAGGGTTGCTAGTGTAGCCGTGACACAACCACGCGACGAAAGGAGGTCAAACATGGCGTCTGCATCGAAACACAAGTCTGAAAAATGTTTGTCAATGCTTCGTTGCAAACACTGCACTGAATCAGAAAGAACAACGGAACTGGGCAACCAGTTCCAGAAATGTATCACACGTCGCGCGAAACAATGGATATGAGTGACATTGTCCATACGTGGAACTTCCAGCTTGTAAGAATGCCCCCGGGTGATAGGTGCATCCATAATACAGAACATCTGCCTCAGGTGAGGAAAATGTCTCAGGTGAAGGATTCTAAACGTTGTAATGAGGTCAATTCGTAATCTCCTGTATACTAGTGTATGGAGACGTAACTTTTAGCACCTCTGGTGGTAAGATAGGCCTCGGAGCGTGGGGATCAGGCGGGTGACTAGGTGCTGGACTTTTTCCAATTTTCTCATCTCACTTTTTGTACTTGGATAATAGGCCGGTGCCCCGTATTCTAAAAGCGGGCGCACCATGGAGACGTATAGCCTGACAGCAATTTCCTCCGACCAAACGTGGAAGGTCCGCTTTAATGACCAAAACATGCGAAGGCTGGAACAGTAGACCTTGTGCGTATTGTCTGACGATTTTAAGTTCCATCGGGATAGTACTCCTAGATCTCTAACCGTCGCAGCCGAGCACAGTAGACGTCCACCGACAAGTTGAAAATGAAAGTTTACGCAACACGATTGGTGACGCAAGGCAACAGAAAACTCAACATATGTCACAATGAAGTGGCTTCATGTAACGCTAGAGCAACGCAAGTGTTTCACGTAGCAGGCTTAAGATGACAATAAATGTGAGATTACATAAATGCATCAGACTAAAAGGTTTAAACCACTGAGAACAAAACTTACAACGAATGACGCAAAATTGCAACAGCTAATATGAACGTATATCAGACGTACCTTAAGAAATCGCACATGGAAAACGCGTAAAAGCTCAATAAACGAACCTTGAAGGGATTCTGTATCACGAAATCCCAGGAGGACGCCCGGGGCGCAGATAATATCTCAGAACTATCAATGAGTATCAGGTGATTGCTATTACAAGCTTGAATAAGCAAACTAAAGGTGAACGGCCATGATAAAACACAGTCTATTACCAAAGAAGCAGTAGCGCAAAAAATGCCATCTCCTCCATAACCAGCGCCTGATTGCTGTTCATGAAGTTTGGTTGTAATAAACAAACCAAGTGAGGTCAACTTTCAAAGACGGCATATGTGTCCTGTTCCTAGTAATGCAATGTAATCTATAGACGTCAAAACTGTGTTTGACGTGAATCATTTGCACTTTTAGTGACCCTGACATTAAAATTTACTGTTGTTTCAAATTCCCACGTCTATTTGTTTATTGAGCACATCCCGTTAGTGGCTTCCTCCTCCTTGGCGGTAAATTGAAATTTTTTTAGCGTGCTGTCTTTTTGAGGTTTTACTTTCAGAGGACAGTTTCGGAACAGCATTTACAAGTATGGTGCAAAAAATTTGACTTTTGTCAAATTGCGCTTGATCCAAAGAACTTTGGAACATGGTTTTCCCCGGATTACGTCGCACCCGTTCTCGTCGTCCACCTTTTACGGGTTCAGCCTCTGGCTATATCTCCGGTATTTTTGTGTTTTGTAATCCGTTTTGCAGCTTGTGTTAACTGTTAGCCGGTTCTGTTGACTGTCCTGCAGGTAACAGCTTGTCGGGTTTCCGTTTAATACTTGTTTCAGACTCATTGAAAGCGTGTTGCGAGTCCGTCAAAAATCCCCGCAAGAAACGCGCCAGTAACTCCGACATAATGGCTGTGGGAAGCGGAGTCCAATTTCTCCCCACAACGCAGCAGTGTTCAGCCACTCCGAGGCGCGTCCCAACTGCGAACCTTTTGACAATGGTCATTTGCAAACTACCACCTCTGCGTGGTGACCTTTTTCCCTAACTTAATAACCTATAGCACTGGCTGTGATTGCCCTTTGTCGGTCGTAAAAGAGCCTACAGAGGACCACTTGTCTTTTCTTTCTCTTCGCTTCAGTTGGGAGTCGGTCGGGTCGCGTGATTGCGTGTGAATCGTCAGCTGGCCAGCTGGTCTATCTTACCCCCGCTCGTGTGCGTTCGTTTTCGAGGCCTCAGCGTCTATACGAACAAGTGCGGCTAAGATCGTTCCCACGCTCGTTCAATTTTCCGTCTCACCGTCTAAGCTAGCGTCATCGTGGGCGTGCTCCAACCGTGCGAGCGACAATCTTGTCACGCAATTACCTCAAGAGGCGGCGTTCCCTCAATTATAACAAAGCGTCATGCCGGATTCACTGAATACCGGCGCGAAAGTGTCTTCGGCTGCGTGGAGTAGCGAACCCAAAGCTGTATGCGGCAACGGAAGCTGATCAAAGCCCATGACGGACGAGTCCGGTGTCATGCGGTGTTATGTATGCAATTGCTTGTACCATGAGACCTGTAGCGATTTGAGCCGTGATCAATACACAGTGTTTTCAGATCCCTACCCCAGGAGCTTGAAGTACCGTCGCTATTGTTTGCTGATGACCTCGAGCTCTGAAATATTGTGGATTTCCCTGTTGGCCCTGAGGCACTTCAGAGTGCCTTGGATAGGCTCTGGGATTGGTCAAGCTTATGGTTGATGCCCATAAATCAAGCGAAATGTTCTGTCCTCCGCATTGCTGGTGCTAGTCCTCCCACGCGCTATGTAGTTGGTGGAAGTGAGCTCCCTGTTGTCATTCGGCAGGTTGATCTAGGTAACACCCATACCACATTGATTCATTCTGGGGAAAATTGGTGGAAGTCTGCTTGTAGTGGGTACCGTCTTATGTGGTTTATTCGCCCGTCCTTCGGAGTCCTAACGGCCAATATTTTTGTGAAGCCGTTCTCAGCTTTGGTACAGCGTCACTTAGAGTATTGTATCCAGGCGTGTCCACCTTGTCTTGTACGAGACATAATGGAACTGGAGAGGGTATTGCGAGTGGGTACAAGGTTAGTGCAGGGATTACGGGGGCAAACTTACGCCAAACGTTTGCTTAGCTTGGGTTTGTACTCAATGCACCACCGCAGCATTAGAGGCTTGATCTTCACTAACCGTAACTTAACGGACAAGATCGGTCCAGACTTATCCTGGCTATTTAGTCCCGCCAAACTGCCTAGTCTCTGAGGTCACCCATTGTAGCTGCACAAATTGCTTTCTAATTGGGTAACGACGGAAACTCGCTTCTCGCGTCGATTTATTGAACGTATGAGATCGCTGCCAGCACACGTTGTTAGGGAGTCTACGGTGGAGGGTTTCGAGCATCAGTTAGATGCTCTTGGGTGGCAGTATCAAACCTTCCCTTCTCCTAACCGACTTGTATCTTCAACATTCCATTCGTATGAGCTTACTTCAACTCTTGTCAACCTGATCGTACCCTGGCTACAGACCTTATGCACGGCACAGGTTTGGTCCTTTGGACCCAGTTGCGCTAGATTCTAACGGAGTTCAGACCACTGAATTATAGGCGCTTCCGCGTCATCCTTCTTCCTAACTACTCGGCGCAGTCCTGTCCGCGTGCACCAGTTCCTTGCCCATTCTCTACATCTCTTTCATTTCTGAACGTTGCTTTACGAAATGGTTGCTCTCTGCTTGACTTCTCAGATTACTTGGTCTTAGCTTCATCTAAACTGCCTCCCGCATTTAGACGGAAGCCATTGACATCAGTTTATATTTGTCGCTCTTTAACCCGTAGTATCCACACAACTTTACAAACAGGCGTAGTTATAGCAGTCGTTTGACCTTGCGCGAGCAGCATGTTCTACCTACGTAATATCTACATGCTGCGCCAAACCAGAACCGAGGTAAAGAGCGCACCTACAAACCTTGTATACTAAATAAAGTATGAAGCCCTTAGTGCAGCATTTAGATGGGTACCGTTGCATGCCATCAGTCTTTCAATAGTGTTTCCTGATGTCTTGCTGCTTGTCCGTTTGGCTGCCCCTTGGTCCGCGCCCGCTTTTCCTGTAGTATCCACAAATACTTCGGCCGACGCAAGTATGTAATCCCCTGCGTCTAGCTGACACAAGCTCTAGGGCCAGCTGGCGTTAAAACTTAATCCCTTCTCCTGGAAACGAAGAAAAATCCATCTCTGAATAACCCTCTCATTGTTCCAAGTAGAGTTTGTTTGACTATTCTGCAGATGCCAATGTTACAGGGTCTAAACAAATGGGTTTAGCTGAGCTCGTACCCAAAGAAGCACCACACACTCACTTGGAATAATATACGTACCAGGATACCCTGTTACAAAACAGATGACCGAGTCTTCTGTCATGATTACATTCGCTGCCACGGACAGCTTTGCTTATTCTCACTGCCATTCAAACAATTGGGTCCGGTGCCTTACAGTTCCGGTAGAACATTCTGATATAGGCTGTTACGGGTGGATCTCATTATGGCTAGCTAGCCGAACAACCTCCTCGTGGTTTCAGCTGGGTGGTTCGGGTAGATACGGTTTCTGCAAATGGTTCGGCGACAGTGTTCAATGATTTGGTGGGATTTCGCCTGGAAAGCGTCCCCCTATAAAAACCATAAGTATCCGTTTGACAACACTGTGACGTGGCGGATGTGACTCGCCACTAAATAAAGTCACTGTTTCTTCCTTTTTCCAGAGGATCATTCACACATCACAAACGTCACCCGATGCAAAGCGTTCCATTGATTCCCCCCTCTGATGTCGACCACAACGAATAAAAGCAAAAACAATGTCACATTTACCTACTCACACAATGGTCCCTTCCTAATACGCAGGTAAACATATTTTACATGTCAACACACCCTTACATTCCTCTGCTATTCATCAAAATGTACTAATTTGAGCAATTGCAGAGCATCCATGTCTGTATTACCATGATCAGGCCCTTGATGGTGTGCCTCGCAATGACGAGAATAAACCATTTATTTATTTATTTATTTTATTTAATGCGGAAGAACCCAAAGCCCATTTGCCGTCCGCTGCTGAAATTGAAACGCAACACGAACATAAGAGGTCATCCTCTGAAACTGACAAGTTAGTGCAGCCGGCTTGAATGCCGTAGAAATTTCTCTTCCTTCCGCTTGTGCCAACCCTGAAACCCTCTCCCTAATTATCTCGTCTCTGCTCCCAATATGGTAATATTAAAAGCCAGTTGACGATGGTTCGTCTAATTTGCATTTCCTTATTTAAATTGTTAGTTTGGGGCTACAAAACGCAACCAACCGGTATCTTAACCACCTCGTAACCAATAGATTTATGGATTTATACTTTTAATACTCGAGCATTTCCGCTTTTCTAGATAAGTCTATGGTGAATACAACAAAACGCTTTTTACTTCATCATGCAATTTACTTTTCGTAATAACTTTCACCACGCGGGACTCGGTAAGCATGGCTATTTTACCCTAACACACCATTGCTCCATTGTCGGTTGCCCTCTAGTCAACTGGAGTCTTTTCGAGGTGAGTCCAATGACGGCTTTGCGGCTCCTCAATAGCGCTCGGACAAATGGCTTTTCCGATGGACGTTCATGATTTTTCACTTGACTACGGAGACAATTCCACATAAGGAATACTTACATTTGAAGGAATCCTGCTCCTTTTGTACGGACGAAGAACTTCATATCGATCCCAAATTAAACAAAGCATTGGCATTTTCGTCCGACTTGAACGTATTCAGCCACATGGACCAACTACAATCACAACCCCCAAGACAAGCTAAGCGTGGATAGCAGAACATTGACTTCGCAATCCGGACAACTATAACAAAGCGGTTGCCGCCAAACTCTATTACCTCGACATTTGTAGTCACCCGCGCCACTCATCATTTGATTCTATGACACTTTTGCCTCGTCTACCGGCTTCAACGACTACTGCAGTTTCATGACTATGAGAACGGGACAACCAGCGAAAAAATTTGTCCGTGAATCCCCTGCAAACAACCAAAGTACAAACTTGATCTATAGGACGCGCCACCAGCTTGCACTACTGTTCAACTTAACCTACGGCAGTGTTCCAGGAAGTGTTGGGTTTTCGCCTGGCAAGCGTTCCCCCATGAAAGCCACACATGTCCGCTTAACAACACGGTGGCATGGCGGATTTGACACGCCACGGAATAAAGTCACAGCCTCCCATTCCACACTGGCGCAGCCATTAGACTTCTACATGCAACCTGTGCAACCAA